ATCACTATGTAGGGCCCAGTTCTAGACAATAGGAGCATCTGTTTCTAAAAATATCTCGTGCACTTTAAATATTCTAAGATTAGGGTTAAACTAGGTTTAACTAAGGTTAATCTTTGCAGTCATTCATTCAAATATTTTTTTATTGAACACTCAATGTATGTTAAGTTCTTTGCTAGATCTGAGTATACATTAAATAAGACAGTTTTCTCTGCAAACAAGGTCAACTATTCCCAACCCCCACCTTTTACCTCTAATACCCCTCCACATCCCTTTCTTCTTCCTCCTGAGTTTAATCAAAGTGAGATGACTTTAGTCAGTGCTGACCTAATATTCATTGCTCATTAACTGAACAAACATTTACTGACCAGTACTTTCCAGGAACTAAGCTAAGCACTGGGGATAAAAATGAGCAAGACACAACCGCTATACTCCCAAAGATCTTAGTGCAGGAGATTCGCACACAGACAAAAATAAAGGCAAGTTTGCCCACAGAAAGTGCCTAATAAGTGACTGGCAATAGAGCCAAGAACAAACAGCCTCAAGGATGTACTTTTCATAGAAACATTTCCTAAAGACATTTCACAAACCCCATATATTGGCACATATTCACGCTAAGTAAAAAACAAGACCCATTTAAGAGTACACTGTGTATAATTTGGCCCGAAGAACTCACAGTTAAGTCACTTCTACCACTAGCCTCAAAGAAAAAAATTTAAATTCATTAATTAGCGAAGACCTTACAAAAATTGTATGGGCTCATCTCAAAAATTAGCCATTAAATATCCTTTATTGTTTATGCTTATTTGAAAGGAACCTTCTAGAGGAACATCTCATATGGTTTAAAATAATAGTTACTACCTATTTTGGTGGCCTTATGATCACAGGGGGAAAAAACTGGGAGCTACCACTTCCAAAAGTCGACTTCGTAACAATTATCTGTATTTGTTAGGAATAACTCTGTCTCAACGAAGATGTCCAAATACTTTTATATGACAAAGATGATGAATAACTACAGCAAATGTTCCCAATTTCTGATTACTTCTGATATGCCTTACCAAATGCTTTCCACATATTTTCTCTTAAAAATCCGTGCACCCACTTACAGAGGATATCACCCCCATTTCAAAAAGGCAAGTGGCTTTCCCAGTAAGGGAACTAGTGAGAGACAGAGCCAGGAACTGACCCAAGTCTTACCCCAAAGCTACAGTCTCCCATTCTGTGCTACTGCTGCTAAATCAAAATCTAAATTACTCTTTACAAAGATCACAGTACTCTAGGACCACTGTGCTATAGCCATGCCACTCTTTTCCTATGTTCTGCCAGTGGCCAGTGCACGCACATTTTCCCCACCCCCTGAAATGCCTAAACTATTTTCCACACACCTTTCTGACAGGGTTGTGGATGTGATGTCAGCTCTTACCAGGACCCACAGAAGACATGGAAGGGAGTCCCTGTTCTGCACTACTGTAGGACGCAAGCACCAGAAGCCCTTAGTGCTGGCTAGCACTTACTAGATCCCACCTTCAACTGCCTATTCACCAACTTTGTGGCTGCAGGGCATTTGTGACAGAGGCACCTGAAGTCAGTCCTGGCAAGAACAGATTCCTAATTTGGGTGGCTGCTTAGGAGGGAGGCCCTAACTTCACAGTCCTGGACTCCCCAATGTTATAAATGCCTGAATCTCTGCTTCCTTGGATAACCTACAGTGCTATGCTTATCTCCACTGCCAAGAAAATCCAGTTACTGAAAATCTCATACTGAATGCTTCAGCCAGTTTAAAAACACAAAAACAACAACAAAAAGAAAAAAACTCTGCCCATCCAGGAGGCAAAAGTTTAGTGGAAGCTTATCATGACAGTCAGGGTAACAGGTGAACATGTAACAGACTTGTAGTGTGAGGAACAGGCCATCATAAACAAGGATTAAAAATCTAGACTTTCCCAAAAGTCTCCAGATAAAACCTCAGAGCCTACGTATATAAGGACTCTGGCCCCTACAACAAAGCAGCTTCCTCTTAAAAGTTGGGGAATGGCAGCCTTAAGTAGGGACATACATCCCTAAGAAAAACGGCAGAATAAGCCTATTTACTTTGTACTCAGACCAGTTTTTCAGCCATATGGGGTGAATGCGGTACATGACCAGAATCTCAAAGGAAATGTTTTACCTGAACGTTAGCAATAAAGGGCTAGGGCCCCACTTTCCCAAAGCCCAGTTTATTTCTCCCATGTAAAAACAGGTACCAGTTGTAATGGAGGAAAGCAATGTCTTGAGAATTAATGATTTCTACCACAATCTAAATTTAACTTATCGAGGGCCTCCCCGGTGGCGCAGCGGTTGAGCGCTGGGTTGCGAAGCTGCCCGCGGCCTCTGCGGCGCCGGTTTGATCCCCGGCTGCTCCCCGGCCACGGGAGGAGGGTCCCACATGGCGCGCAGACCTCTCCTGCCGCCCGCTGCTCCCCTCAGCAGTGTACTTCGGTCCTTCTGCCTGCTCTGCTCCCCGCTCTGACTCTGGTGAATTCTCTCACCCTCCCGCGCTTCTGACTGTACCCAGTGCATGTATAAACAAAAACAAACAAACAAACCAGCAAACAAATAAATAAAGCATGCCTCTATTAAAAAAATAAATAAATAAAAAAAATAAATAAAAAAAAATAAATTTAACTTATCGATCATGTTATATACCTAAATTTCTTTTCTTTAAAAATCTATACTATATCCAGATAATATGCTCTTTCTTCTTTACCTCCTTATTAGGCTGAATCATATAAAATGATCATTTTAGCGGTTTAAAAACGGTCAAATATTGCAAACAAGGTCAACTATTCCCAACCCCCACCTTTTACCTCTAATACCCCTCCACATCCCTTTCTTCTTCCTCCTGAGTTTAATCAAAGTGAGATGACTTTAATCAGTGCTGACCTAATATTCATTGCCACTTAAGGAATTTCTCAGCTTCTACCCTTCTGTCCCACCTGCTTTTGTTCTATAACCTCACTGTGACAGCTGCTTCACTGGGGGAGTCTGTGCCTCACAGGGAAGGGTCTCACTGAAACAGTAAGGGGGGTGAGCTCCCTGATCCTGGCCATCTCACTCTCAGAGGTTGCATCCGTCCCTCTCCTTCCTAACCACAAAAGCTCTGTCACTGGTTTCCCAGAGCTCTGCTTCATTCTAGCTTCCAATCCTTTTTCTGTCTTAGGATTTGCTAACCCTGCTGGTTGAAGGATTAGACCCTTAAATTTTTTCGCTCATGTTTATATAGTAAGAACAAAAAATAATGCTTTCTGTTGCTAATAAAAATGTGTCTGTGGTGGAGTTAATTCTCCCAGGTAATTAGGTTAATACCTTTAACATTAATGTGCACTGTTAAGAAAAATCATAAAGAAATGAGATCAAGAAGAGTTAGTATAGTTTATTGGAGATGACTGTTTTTCTTGGGAAATAAGTCTAAGGCGAATAATTGGTGAAGGAAAGCCCTTAATTAGAATTTGGATGTTTCAGTTCCAGTTTTCCTTCATCCAGTAGTTCCTGTTGAAAGAGGAGACTATGAAAAGATACATATTATTTAAGTTATAAATTTCCAGTTGTGGGGCCTCCCTGGTGGTGCAAGGGGTTAAGCACCACACTATGAAGCAATCCGCAGCCTCTGCAGCACAAGTTCCATCCCCGGCTGGCCAGGGAGAAACTCACATGGCGAGGCAGACCCCTCCTGTCTCGCCCGCTGCTCCCCTCAGCAGTTTCAGTTGGTCTGCCTGTTCTGTTCCCTGCTCTGTCTCTGGTGAAGCATCTCATACACACCCTTCCCCCCACAACTCTGGCCTGTACCCCAGCTCTTGTATGCATAAATAAATAAATCTTTAAAAAAAAATTTCCAGTTGCGATAGACACATTATTTATGGATATTTTTCCTTAAGGAAATGTGAATGTTAGAACCAATTTCAAGAAACATGGTATCAGATACTGCAAATTCCTAGAAGTATTTTCTGACTCTCCTCAGGTTTATTCAAGGAGCTTTTAATCTACTGTAACGCTTATTTTAATAGGCATGTTAAAGTCCAAGGTCATGGACAGTTGTTTGAATTTTTATGTTGAGTCTTCTTTAGAATGAAAATCTCTTGCACAATAAGGATTAAATTTGGAGTGTTTTTTATTGGTATATTTAACTGATTTGGTGTGGCACCAAGCTCAGATCCGAGAGGTAGAAATTCAGCAGTTTGCTGCCTATAGTAAAATTGGAGTGTAGTTTTCTTTCTGTTAGTGTACCTTTTTCCTTTGAGAGTTGAACAATCTCATGTGGTCTGGTCACGTGTGTTCTGAGCGATGGTCATACCACATGGGACATAACATTATATGTTCATTACATCTGCAGTGTGACTACTTCTTATCAGTTAACTTAATTCCAGAAAAGAAGGGGGACTAAGTCCTGATCATAGGAATTTGAGAAAAAATATTTATAATTTTAAACTCCCATCCAAGGACAGAAATGTAAGGTAGATATCTTTCTATAAACTACCTTCTAGTGTTTTGTTTATTGTTTTTCTTTGCATTTGTTTCATTTTTATCCTTGAAAATATGCAATACTATGAAAGAATTTGGAATTATTTTTCTTGTATAAAACTGAGGGAATTTTATGACAATTCTCCCTAACGTGTTACTGGAATGGACGGGATGAAGAGCAGTCTTTTTTGAGGTTATTAGAAAGGAAAAGCATGTAATGACAGAACAGTACAAATAAGTTTTTCTTTTGTGAGGCCTACCTTTTAAAGTTGAGTTCTTTGACTCCGCACTCATGCAGTCAGATGTTTATATAGTCAGCCCTCAATGCTAAGTGAACTTTACTAATTAAGAGTTGTTTTAAACAGAGAATTGATGTTTTTTTCAAATCAGTTAAGTCAGTATAATTGGCCTTTCAGTCTCAAGTACTCCTGGAATATGAAAAAGGAAGTTGTAAAAATTTTAATGTAAATCAATTAAATTTCTAGTATTTCACCATTTGTTGGCAGGACTTTGTGTCACTGTATCAGGATTTCGAAAACTTCTATACAAGGAACCTCTATATGAGGATAAGAGACAACTGGAATCGACCCATCTGTAGTGTGCCTGGAGCCAGGGTGGACATCATGGAGAGGCAGTCTCATGATTACAACTGGTCATTCAAGTGAGTCTTGCTTTCTTCCTTTCTGTAATTGAAGTATAATTGACATACAACATTATATTAGTTTCAAGTGTACAGCGTAAGGACTTGACATTTGTATGATGTGATGACCACAATATGTTTATTGCCCATCTATTCTTAGCAGTTTTTCAAAACTACAGTACAGTCTTACTGCCTGTGAAATGTGTGCCTCTTGATCCCCTTTACCCATTTCACCACCTCCCAGGAAATTATTTGACAACAACAAAAAGAATTTCTTCACTTCAGAAAAATACTCTATTGCAAATTGAGTATTTTGTCAAAACAGATATAGAAGTTGAGTACAATACAACATGATCAGTTTCCTTGCATGTTAGTGTGTTTGAAATTTTTAAATACCCTTTTCTATTAACATTTGATACTGTTGGATTATAGTTGAAAATAAAATTTGACTTATTAAAAAAATAGAGAAAAACTCTTCTGTTATGCCATTTACCAGAATCAAGTGTCTGAGTTTATTTCATTCTGAATATTTTTGTTTCTCAAATGATTCAAGGATGTATGTCGTGTTAAATGGAGTGAATGTTATGTATTTGTATGTAACATATATGTTAAATGGTTTGAATAGTTGAACAAACTTCTTAATAGCCATAAGATTTTATTTTATGGTTTAGATTGTTAAAGTATTCTGTGATTGTATTTCAACCATTGCCATTATTAGATTGCCATTATTAGGATTGCCATTATTAGAAACAAAAACAAATAATACAAATAAACTGAAAATCGCCTGTAACAACAACTGCCGTCCTTCTGTAAATCCATTCCTGCACACCCTCTCGACTCAGCAGGGATCGTGGTTACCAGTTTCTTGTGTATTATTCCTCCAGATGTTTCCCTGTGGGATATGTATGAGGTGCATCTATTGGGATTATTCACTAGTAGTTTTTGATTAACCAAAATGGGATCCTACTATAGAAATTATTTTACATCTTGCTTTTTTTATTTGCTAGCGTATCACTAACATCCTCATTATTTCTAGTTCTTAGTATTTTTCAGTATACAAATGTACATAATATCTAGCAGGTTGGGGTGCATCATTCTGTATTAAAAACCCCTAAATCTCAGAGTCAGAGCAGCCACAACTTACTGTCTACATTTCATGTCTGTCTTAGGTTGGTGGGGCCTTTGAACCATCGTGCTCTCACTTAGGGACCTAGATTGACAGTGCTTCTAAATATGGAATGTCACTGGTCTGTGTGCCTGAGAAAGGGACTTTGTAAATCATGTAGTGACTCTTAAAGGGTCCTTATGCATATATCCTTTCATATGAATGTGGTGCAAATTGCTGAGTCATACGACATCTGTCTCTTTTAATGGATAAATATTGCTCAATTGCACCCACTATAAAAAAGGTACTGACTTGTCAACACTAGATAGGATCAGTTTTTGAGTCTTTATCACTTTGGTAAGTGAAAATGGTATTTTGTTTTAACCTACATTTTCTTAACTGGCTATTGAGTTTAAGTTTCTTTTCAGTTAGATCATATTCTCTTTACTTCTTACAACTTCTCTGCTTCCCTTTGTATTACCAGTACACTTATTATTACATCTAAGTGTTTGATTTGCTCATGAGTTTCATAACCTTTTATTATATTGAAATACAGGTACACAGGGAATATAATTAAAGGTGTTATAAACATGGGTTCCTACAACTATCTTGGATTTGCACGAAATACTGGATCATGTCAAGAAGCAGCTGCCAAAGTTCTAGAGGAGTATGGTGTTGGCGTGTGCAGCACTCGGCAGGAGATCGGTAAGTGAGGCTGAATTGGACCAACTGATGTTCTTAGCCTTAAGTTTTTCACGGAGGAGAGAATAATACAGACTAGAGTAAGAATATTAAGCATCCAAATGTGTACTTTGCCGAATAAGTTAGCTCAGATCAAGAATGCTTTGTTTTTCTCAAGTGCGGAATGATTTTAACGCTTTCAACATACTTTCCATTATGTTATACATATAGATTTAACTCTGGAAAAGCTCTGTAAGTATTTGTTCATTTTTAACTTTAATGTTGACTTAATTGACTTTGCAAATGAGGTGTTAGGCATGCTACCTCTAGTACAGATCCTGTGGGTATATGAGGGTTGATCTGTTCCGTGCAGGTAAATTGGGGCTAATGATAATTCCTACCTTATACAGTTATTTCAAGAGTTAAATAATTCCTGTAAAGTGCTGGTAACATGGTAAATATTCAATAAGTGTAAATTCTTTATTATCACCATATGTCAGTAAAATGTAAAGTTTAACAGATTTCTATAAAGAGACTTAATTTATGTTAGTTCAAAGAAAGATTCAAAATTCTTCCTTGTTTGTTCCAGAGAATTAATAACCATAGAAGTTAGAAGGCAACTTTTTGGATCTTACTACTGTGAATCATCCCTCAGCTTAGTAAATTAAAACAATACTTCATTATTACCTCCTGTGGCCTTAGAGATTGTCAAGTGCAGCTAAGTCATTATCACTCAGGATTTCAAGTGATGTGGTCAAGGAAGCCCTGTACAGTTTGACACATAATAATCATACCTTACGTATTTATATTTTATAAAGTCCCTGAATATATTATTTCTTTTGATCTTCACAACAGTGTCATGAACAAATATTATTATTGGTGTTCAGCAGATAAGAAGATGAAGTCCATATAGGTTAAATGATTTGCCTAAGCTTTAAGGACACGTAGCATCCAAGTCCAGCAGTCTTCTTTCTTAGCATCTGTTCTCTCTACTCATTGATCAGTGTTGTTCAGAGAGGGAAGGTGCTTTTTAACCTGTCTTTTGCAACATAACAAACCATTCCAAAATTTAATTTCATGTAAAATAGAACCACGTTTACTTGCTTGTGAGTCTGTACTTTGGGAAAAGTTTGATACTTACCTCATCACCATGTGGTGGTGTGTGAATGAATGAAAATAGACTATCCAGGATGACTTTACATATGCCTGGAAACTCAGCTGAGGTGAGAGGGATGGTGGTGATGGGGTCAGCTGAACGCTGCCCACATCTCTGCTCCCTTTTTCCAGTTCACATTCTCGTATCCTGCAGAACCCCTCTATCTCCACCATGTCTATAACAGACTGGTTCGTTTGTATGTGGCAGTGAACTTTAAAAATATAAGAACAGTTGTTGCCAGTTCTCTTAAGGCTTAGCCCTAGAACTGGCATTCTCCCAACTGGTTTAGGAGAAATTGTTGGCAACCCTCTTTACAGAAATTCTACCACATGTACTGAATTCTAATTTATTCAACCAGTGTGTTATGAGCCATTACTCTTCATAATACTGACACCTTACTCTTAAAAGATTATAACATATAGACTATGATTTTACTTTATAAAATATTGAGTAATTCTTATACTTGGAATTTGGTAGCATTAACTTGGTTAACTTCTTCACACAGGAAACCTGGACAAGCACGAAGAACTAGAGAAGCTTGTGGCAAGGTTCTTGGGAGTAGAAGCTGCTATGGCATACGGCATGGGATTTGCAACAAATTCAATGAACATTCCTGCTCTTGTTGGCAAAGTAAGACTTGCCTGTCGTTTATGATAACCCCCTCATATGTATATATCTAATTTTGATTATTTGGTAGGCATGCAGAGCAAGCCAGAAGCTATGTAAACTGTGGGGTAAATATTGTTGGTCCAGAGATATTTCTAGCACAAACTTTTGGATAAGAATATCCTATAGTGATACAACAGTTGAAGCTTTCTTGCTCCACTTAGCCTTTTCCATTAGATGACTCTTGCCTCCTTCATTTCAAATAGTTTTGAAGGGATTTTAATAAATACCTCATAAAAGATTAAAATTATGAGAGAAAAAATACTTAATTTGGAAAGTCATTTAATAGGTGATTTTTCCTATGTGGAAAAATAAGAAAATATGGAGGAGGTACCCTGATACTTGTCCTTATTGTAACACATGTTGTTCAGCGACATATGGGCAGAGTATACACACACAACGTGCTTTATTTTCTGAAGGTAGCATTTGTGAAGAAGCAATAGAAATGAGAAAAGAGACTTTGTAAATTACATTTGTGCAAATTGGGACTATCAGCTTGAAAAGATCCTCAAGGGTATTTTTCCTCATTTTAACATTAATATCTAGCAATAGGATGTTGAGAAAAATCAGTGCATTAATAAGTCAGAAGACTTGAGTTTTTTGTTGGCTGTATTGTCAAACTTAGTTGTGACAGTGAGCATGTCACTTTTCTGAACTTCAGTTTCCTTTCCAAAATGAGCTACATGGACAAGGTTAACATTAAAGTCCTTTTCAGTTACAAAAATACATGGTTTTTCAAGGACTTGATGGAACAGGTGGAAACCAACGCAGGAGAGACTATTAAACCTACCTGTGTTATATGACATTAAATAAATTGGTTTATATACATTCCAATTAAAAAACAGATTGTCAGATAAAATTAAATTTACAGACACAGGTAAAAGTAAAAGGTTGGAGGGCCTCCCCGGTGGCGCAGCGGTTGAGCACTGGGTTGCGAACCTGCCCGCGGCCTCTACAGCGCCGGTTCGATCCCCGGCTGCTCCCCGGCCACCGGAGGAGGGTCCCACATGGTGCGCAGACCTCTCCTGCTGCCCGCTGCTCCCCTCAGCAGTGTACTTCGGTCCTTCTGCCTGCTCTGCTTCCCGCTCTGGCTCTGGTGAATTCTCTCACCCTCCCGTGCTTCTGGCTGTACCCAGTGCATGTGTAAACAAAACAAACAAACAAATAAATAAATAAACATGCCTCTATAAAATTAAAAAAAAAAATCTTTAAAAAAAAAAAAAAAGTAAAAGGTTGGAAAGAGATACAACATGCAACCAATAGCAAGAAATACTTCTAGAGATGAAGGGAACATTGCATGTTTTTAACCTGTCTTTTGCTACATCACAAACCATTCCAAAATTTAGCCACATTATATTCATTAACCCTTTGGGGACAAAATGGATTGATCTTAAGGTGATTATGCTAAATGAAGTAAGTCAGAAAGAGAAAGACAATTACCAGATGGTCTCATTCATTTGCAGAATATAAGTAACCAAAGAAAACAAGCTGGCAAAGGAACCAGAATAATTCTCAGACTTTATGAAAATTATACTAGTTACAAGAAGGGATGGGAGGGAGGGAGGAGAAGGGTAGAGGAGAGCTGATGAGGAGGAGTGAAGCATGCGTACAAGCAGAGGTGTGAAGTTGTACTCTCAAATTATATAGTTATGTAAACTAGTGGCAAATCAATAAAACTTGAAGAAAACCCATAATTTTAAATGTATAAGCATCAATAATAGAGCCAGTACGATAACCAGTAGCAAGTACATAAGCAAGAAATTGATGAAACAGAAAGGAAAGGGAGAAATGGACAAACATGGAATTATAATTAGAGAGCTCAACACAACACCTCTCTCAAAAATTAATAGAATGAGATAGAAAAATCTGTAAGGATATATAACACTTGAAAAACTCAACCAATTTGATCTAATAATAGCATTTATAGAAACCTTCAACAGCAGGCTATTTACCAAGATAGACTGTTTTCTGAGCCATTAAAAATGTCAACAAATTTAAAAGATTTGAAATTATTCAAAGTATGTTTGCTGACCATAATAGAGTGAAATTAGGAATTAGTAAGCCAAAGATACCTGGAAAATCCTCAAATACTTGAAAATTAAACCACACACTTCTAAATAACCCATGGGTGAAATAAGAAAAGGAAGATAGAAAATATTTTTAACCAAAATGAAATGTAATAAATTACAATTTATGTGATGAAGCTAAAGCAATGTTCAGATGGAAATATGTAACTTCAAATACTTATGCTAAGAAAAAGGAGAAGTTTAGGGCCTCCCTGGTGGCGCAGCGGTTGGGCGCTGTGTTGCGAAGCTGCCCACAGCCTCTGCAGCGCCGTTCTAGCCCCGGCCACCGGGTGAGGGTCCCACATGGCACGCAGACCTCTCCCGCGGCTCCCACTGCTCCCCTCAGCAGTGTATTTCGTCAGTCTGCCTGCTCTGCTCTCCACTCTGACTCTGGTGAATTCTCTCACCCTCCTACGCTTCTGACTGTACCCAGTGCGTGTATAAATAAATAAATAAATAAATAAATAATCAAAAAAGAAAAAGGAGAAGTTTTCTACCTTAAAAATTTCTACCTTAAAAACAATTTAAAAAAAAGAAAAGAAACTTCTACCTTAAAAATTTAGAAAAAGCAAATTAAACCCAAAGATTTCAAACAGAGGTAGGATATTATAAAGGTAAATGCAGAAATCAGTGAGTTAGAAAATAACCAGTAGAAGAAATCAGTGACACCAAAGCTGGTTCTTTGAAAAAGTGAGTAAAATTTGATACATCTCTACCAAACTGGTCAGGATAAAAAGAGAAAAAGTGCCAGTAGCAGGAAAAGAGGACCCCCAACTTTGTACATCCTGCAGACAAAAAAGGATAATAAGGAAGGAGTAAGAGCAACTTGATGGCCTTCAGTGGAACAGTCTTGATACAATGCATGGGAAGATGTGAATGAATGTTCTTTGACTTAGGCCTTTCTGCCCTGCATTTTGGCAGTCTGTACCTGAAATCCTGCTGGAGTTTCTTAAAATATCTTACACTGTTGTGCTAAATAACCTCATCCCTCTCTTCTCTGTAGGCTCACAAGTTCTAAAAATCATATCTAGAATTAGATTTCTTGTAGACAAATGTGGGGAATACAGCTTTAAATATTTATTCCAAATCAAACATTATAGTTGAAATGTTATTAAATATCATTTAATCCATTAAAGATAGCAGCGAATTTATTTTCAGTATTTCTTTGAGTAAGATAGTGAATTTCTGTTTGAGTTGGCTGATTATTCAGCTTAAAGACAGTGTATTAAGAACTTAAGTTTTGGAAACAGAAACTGTATTGTGTCTATTGTGTCACATACTATGCTTGTGACTTTGAACAAGATTTACAACTCCCTAAGCAGGTTTCCTTGTATGTCATAATATACCTGCCTCATAGATTTGTTATGAGAATTGAAAGTAATGATGCATTTAAAACACATTTTAATATAATGCCCAAAGCCTGTTAAGCACTTAGATTTAATTGCTGACATTTAATTTTTAATTTTAAACCAAGGATATCATTGAAACTCATGGTAGATTAGAAGGAAAAATAGTTTGATATACAGAAATGGTGGATAGATTTGAGAAGAAGGAGGTGGTGAACAAGAAGAACAAACTTATGTTGCAGGTTTTGCCAGGGGAAAGACAACTTTAGCTGGAAAGAAAAGAAAATAAAATTGTGTGTGGAAGGAAAGGAGGGAAGGTCCTTTTAAGGTATAGTGGAATGCCCACAGTGGCGAGTAAAGGATCTGGAGATTTGCAGAAGAGAAAGCTAATAACCTCTCTTTGTTTTTTCCCAGTTTCTTTCACTTTTTTCAGTTATAAATGCTTTTTTTCAAAGATATATTGGAACTTACAGAAGAGAGTTGCAAAAGAGTACCCTATGGTATATCCTCATTCAGTGTCCCTTTATGTTAACATCCTACATAATATTGGAACATTTGAAAAACCTTGCATAGCCTTTAGCATATTAAGTAAAGAACTTTTTCAGTTTCGCCAGTCTTTCCACTGATGCCATCTTTCTGTTCAAGGTGCAGTCGAGAACCTGAACTGAACTTAGTTGTCTCCCTCATCTACTCCACTATGTGACAATTCCTCTCTGTCTTTGTCTTTCATGACCTTGACTCTTGGACAGAGCACTGGTCACTTATCTTGTAGGATGTCTTCATTTGGGTTTGTCTGCTGTTTTGTCATGTTTTGATTAAGATCATACATTATTGAGAAGGCTGCCACAGAGGTCATGTGTCTTTCTCAGGGCCATCACCAAATACATGATTTCGATCAATATTACTGGTGATGGGGGCCTCCCTGGTAGCGCAAGGGTTGAGACGCAACCTATGAAGCTATCCGCAGCCACTGCAGCACGAGTTCGATTCCTGGCTGGCCAGGGAGCAACCCACATGGCGCAGCAGACCTCTCCAGACTCGCCCGCTGCTCCCCTCAGCAGTGTGCTTCAGTCAGTCTGCCTGTTCTGTTCCCCACTCTGTCTTTGGTGAATCCTCTCACCCCGCACATCTGTGGCCTGGACCCCAGCTCTTGTATGCATAAATAAATAAATCTTAAAAAAAATATTACTGGTGATGTTAACTTTGATCACTTGACTAAATTTCAGTTAGGATTTCACCCTTATTATTCCCTTTGTGTTTTCCAAATACTATGGTAGAGAGAGGACTACATAAATACCCTAGTTCTGATAAAACTTCTCTCCATTGATTTTAACAACCTTCCTGTGGGTCTTGGCTGTGGCAGTTGTTACCTTGATATTCTGGTGGTGATTTTTCTGCTTTCCTCCTTCTATCTACACTTCTTTTTTTTTTTTTTTTTTTTTTTTGTTGGGACCCACGCTGGTGGCCGGGGATCGAACTGGCACTGCAGAGGCTGTGGGCAGCCTCACAACCCAGCGCTCAACCACTGCGCCACCAGGGGAGACCCTATCTACACTTCTTAATTGGAGTTTTTATGGAAGGAAGAATTGTTGCTTCTCCCTTGTTTGTATCAGTCTAGATTCATAATATTTTATTATTCAGGTCCAACATTGCTTTTTATTTTGTTGCTCAGGTTTTCCAGTACTGGCCATTGGGAGATCTTACAAGTGGGCTGAACGTGCATATATCTGTCCTTTTTTAAAAAGGAATTTATTTGTAGCATGACAAGATGCTCCAGGTTCTAGGTTCCCAGTCCTAGCCTTAGAGTCAACCAATTCTCTTGAGCCCTGATTCCTTTTATTGGAGGATGGTGTTAGAAATCAAGGTTTCGTTTGGAGATGGATATGGTATGAAGTGTACAGTTGCTGAGATGAGAAACTAATAAAACCTAATATTACCTCAGTAAAAAAAAAAGGGAAAGTAAGCTTTTAAAAATCTTAATAATAAAAACTTTGCACGGTAAAAATTTCAGACTCATAACTGTTTTATAAGTTTAAGTGTCCTTCCAAGAATTACTTTATAGTAATTGGGCATATATATGTGTCTGTGTATCTTCTCTTATATATTTTTTTAAGATTTATTTATTTATGCATACAAGAGCTGGGGTACAGGCCAGAGATGCAGGGGGTGAGAGGATTCACCAGAGACCAGAGTGGGGAACAGAACAGGCAGATTGACCGAAGTACATTGTTGAGGGGAGCAGTGGGCGAGTAGGTAGAGGTCTGCTGTGCCATGTGGGTTGCTCCCTGGCCAGCTGGCGATAGAACTTGTGCTGCAGAGGCTGTGGATTGCTTCATAGTGCGGTGCTTTAACCCTTTGCGCCACCAGGGAGGCCCTCTTATATTCTTATGAGAGCTTGTCATTTATTTCCTGTTTTTCATCTAACTGACCATTTTGAGGTGGTTGTTGACAGAGAAAAACCTACTTCTGATTTTAGATCGTACAGATTTCTGAAGGCTCCATGAGATATAGAAGAGTAAGAAAGGTGAAGAAATAGAAACCAAGAACTTAAGCTTTCTCTTGTTGCCTTAGCAGAAACTCATGTTTACAAGTTAAAGTAAAGCTTGTTCAGGCATTTTCAGTACAAATGGAGGCCTGCATTCCAAGTCACGGAAAAAAAGATTATGAAAAATACATTTTTTCCCATAGGTGTTAAGTCCCTTAACTTCTCCCCCAAACACTTTACCCCAATGAATTAAAAATAAAACATATATTTTTTTTTCTTCTTGAAATTGATAGCTTTGGGTTTTGTGCAAGCTTTCCTTAGTAAGATATAATTGATGATTTTAGAATTTTGTAATCTGTGTAACTAAACCTTCCCCTCAGTTTCTTATCTCCCTATGTTTGTGATTTTGCAGGGTTGCCTGATTCTGAGTGATGAACTGAATCATGCATCGTTGGTTCTGGGAGCCAGACTCTCTGGAGCAACCATTCGGGTCTTCAAGCACAATAGTGAGTTTGTTGTGGGATTCATTACTTTAGTATTAAACATTCTTTGGGTCAGTAGCAGTAGTAACATTAATTTCATTAATAATAGAAAATATAAATGAAGCTGAGATATTAAATATTATTATGGCTCAGTCTTGTAAGAGTTAACTGTCTTCTCTATTAGAATAAAGATAGAGGAGAAGCCTTTTGGTAGAATATATAACATTCTCTTTTTATTTGACTTTCAGTTTTAACATCTTCCTGGTTGATAAGTCAGTTTTTCATTTAATGTCTGTGGTGTATCTTGCCACAACACTAGAGGTAATGAGATAAATAAAGCAGCATCTCTGATTGCAAGGATCTCTTGCTGGTTAATGAATAAACCAGCTGTTATGATACAGTGAACTGATAAAATAAGTATGTTAACAGATGTTATAGAAGGATAGAGAAAGTTGGTTCTAAGCCAAAACTTTCTCTCTAAATGGGAATATCTTTGTGTATTACTAAAATAGCCATTTACAATAAAAATGTGTAACTATTATGATTAGAAATACTCACATGTAGGGAGGAAAGATTGCCTTACTTCTACCAAAGATTACCAGTCTTGCTCCAAATTGTGTACATGTGCAGACAAAAGTCTAGAAGAATATTCACCAGAATGTTAGGTATATACCTCTGGATGGAAGGTTTGTGAATGGCAGTCATTTTCTCCCTTTTATCTTTGTCTTATCTAAAATGTTTTGCATTGAAAATGAAACAAACTATTTTGTTTTATGTAAATGGATTTATTAAATACTTGTGTAATATGCTATTTTCTTTTTGCAATGCATGATGGATGTTGTTGGCAGTTTGTGGGACTCTACTCCCCTTAATGCCAGGGTGGCGAGCTAATGACTGGATGTGCCCTAAATCAGTCCACCCAATAGTTTGGTCACTGAGGTTTCTAAAATTTTCAGCTACAAAGAGTACTACCTCACTCATTTTTGCTCAGTGGTCTGATAGTGCCTAGGATAAATTCCTATTAGTCTCAGAATGCCTGGTTTAAAAGCTAAACATTTTTTTTGTTTTGTTTTGTTTTCCAAATTGCCTTTAAGCATAGTGCAAATTTTTGCCTAACAACCTAACTATTTCTAGTAACTGGCCAACATAGACCATTTTGAATTATGTTGTCTTTTTTTTTTTTTTAAAGATTTATTTATGCATACAAGAGCTGGGATATATCCCAGAGTTGCGTGGGGTGAGAGGATTCACCAGAGACAGAGTGGGGAACAGAACAGGCAGACTGACTAAAATACATTGCTCAGGGGAGCGGCAGGGGAGACAGGAGAGGTCTACCTCCCCATGTGGGTTGCTGCCTGGCCGGCGGGGGATCTGTTTCATAGTGTGTTGCTTAACCCTTTACGCCACCAGGGAGACCCTATGTTAAGTCTTTCCTAATAAGTAAATAGGAAGTTATTTTTATTTCTTTGATTACTAGGTAGGTGTTGAATAACTCTTTATATACAGTTACTGTATTTGTATTTTTTACTTTGTAAATTAGCCGTTTTCAGGCTTTTTTTCTTTTTTACTAAGAACCCTTTATATTAATTATTATTTCTTTTATGTTGCAATATTTTAAGATTTGTTTTTAACTTTGTAGTATCTTCTGTGAACTTATTAAAATATTTTTGTCAAATTTCCTGTCACATGACTTTTGGATTCTGTATAATGCCTTTCCATTCTAAGATTATAAGGTTATTCTCATTTTCTTCTGGTAGTTTTGTGGTCTATTTTTAATTTAAACCTTTAATTTTCATGGCACTTGGAGAGAGTAGTATGAGAAAGAATGAATTTTTTCCCATTAAGTATGTAGATAATATCATCAAGCATTCTACTAAAGATACTTCCTTTCATCTAAGAATTTGAATCAATATTTATTTTTCTCTTCTTTTATATATAAGTGTATATATATGTATACATACACAGAAGAAACTAAAAACAATGAGTGCATTTTGACTTGTTTCCTGCTGACCCCACATACTGCCCTACTGTGTTTGTGATATGTTTTTATTACCTTACTTCTCTTTTCTACCAAAGTCCGTATTTATGAAAACAGCAAATCGTATATCTTTGTAAACTCTTCATTCAGTGATGAGCAATAAAGAATAGAAAACCAGATTTTATGATAGGGTGTTCCCCACTGCTGTTCAGTAAACCCCAGGGCATTATTTGAGGGCAAATTTTTTAAGTATAAAGTCTTCTATAGTGGTAGTAACAGTGGTTGTCAAATCATTTATCTTTAACAACTACATGATTCTCTTCATTAATGGTAGTACTTAATTTTTTTTTCTATGGTTTTAAACATTTGTTACATTTTAGATGAGGTATCAGTTCAAGGTAGTGGTAGATCACCCATGATACACTATCTTCTTCTACCCAGTTAATGTTCTTCCCTGAAAAACACTTTTTTTTTTTTTTTTTTTTTTTTTTAAGATTTATTTATTTATTTATACAAGCACTGAGTACAGTCAGAAGCGCAGGAGGGTGAGAGAATTCACCAGAGCCAGAGCAGGAAACAGAATAGACAGACTGACGAAACACACTGCTGAGGGGAGCAGCGGGCCTGGCAGGAGAGGTCTGCGCGCCATGTAGGACCCTCGCCAGCGGCCGGGATTGAACTGGCACTGCAGAAGCTGCGGGCAGCTTCACAGCCCAGTGCTCAACCGCTGCGCCACCAGGGGAGGCCCTGAAACACACTTCTTGAAGAAGAAATGCGTATTTTCATTTTTAGAATAAATATTGGAAAGACTAAAGTACTTTGTTCTGAAATTATTTTCTTGTGTGCTATAGATATGCAAAGTTTAGAGAAGTTATTGAAAGATGCCATTGTTTATGGTCAACCTCGGACACGGAGGCCCTGGAAGAAAATTTTAATCCTTGTGGAGGGAATATATAGGTAACGCTGGTTTATTATTCTTGCTTTTGTGATCTGGCCCCATGGAGTCAAAATTCTTCAGCTAGGAAGAATACTATTTTCTTGGAAACTAAAGAAATATTGTTTTTGACTTGTGAAATACCTGGAAGCAGAATTAACACTGAAGCAGAATTCCGCTTTCATTCTCCATCATACTATAGGGACTCCAAATCCTCCTATTTAGGCCTTTTACTTTTCTTCATTTTGTAGAAGGAATTTATACATAGGGGCAAGAATTGGAATTTATTTTCTAATATGTCAAAACAAATGACAATCCATTTAACCTGAAGAAATATTTTGGTAATTTTAATTATATATGCAATGTGATGCAAAGTCTAATGTTGACTATAATTACAAGCTTTATAAGAATCTACTGTAACTTTAATCCTTGTCTGGTGAATTATGATCAGTCATATTCTGGTGCTTATTTTAAAAGATTCAAATCTCCTTTCCCCTAGACATCTGTGTAACGTGGCATCATGTAACTTTGCCTGTTTGAAACCACAAGCAGAGATGTTAAGACCATTTAAAAGGCAAAAACTTTGAAAAGCAATAAGAATAAAGCAGCTTCTAATTTTGAGCATTACAAAGACTCAGTGTATGTTTTTACCCTGTTTTGCTAGCATGGAGGGATCAATTGTTCGTCTTCCTGAAGTGATTGCCCTTAAGAAGAAATACAAGGCCTACTTGTATCTAGATGAAGCTCACAGCATTGGGGCTCTGGGCCCTACAGGTCGAGGTGTGGTGGAGTACTTTGGCCTGGATCCTGAGGATGTGGACGTTATGATGGGAACATTCACCAAGAGCTTTGGTGCTTCTGGAGGATACATTGGGGGCAAGAAGGTAAATTGACAATGAGAATTATTGGCTAGGGATAAGTACTGGCTACTGGAATTGGTAATTCATATTTAGCAAATAGAGTTCTGAACTAGAATGTGGAGTAGCTCACAGAGTCAGTGGACTTCACACTTCAGCTGCCTGTTGAGCAACGGATGAACTAAAAGCTGATTCTGTCCATTGTTTGTTGTTTTTTCACTTGAGCGTCTTCCTAAACTGCACACTGGTCTGAGATACAGAATGCCCTCTTGTATGAAAGAACACACAGTGGCACTGCCTGTTTGCCAGCCTTCTGGCAGGTGTGGGTTGTGCTCACAGTTTCAAAAGTAGTGGTAGTGTCACTGGAGCCGGTCAGAGTAGACTAGTTTCCCTGCCCTTGAATTGAAAAGCATCTTGGGTGAGTATAGAAACAGGAACAGAAAAGATTGTTTTGCTAACTTTGGCATAGCACAAGCATTGTATTTTTCAATTTATAAATTTCGTAATGAATTCCGAGGCATTTGGAAAACTCATATGACTTGGTGGAGATGTTGGTTCTGTAAAGACAGAGGCCTTGATTTAAATATTTCTCTTTTGCGAGATCTTGAGCAAAGCATTTAACCCTATTTCCTTACCTCTGAAACAGAAGTAAATATGCCTAGTTAGTAAGATTGTAGTAGAGTTTAAAAAATAATGTATGTCTGTGCTACAACATAGATGAACCTTGAAAACATATTAAGTTAAAGAAATCTGTCAACAAAAAGATCACATTTTTTATTTCTGTTATATGGTGTATCCAGAATAAGCAAATCAAAGAGACAGAAAGGGGGCTTAAGGGGTTGGGATAGTAGAAAGTGACTGCTAATGCTTATGAAATTTCTTTTGGGGGTAATGAAATGTCCTAAAATTAGATAGTGATGAAAGTTGCATAGCTCTATGAGTGTACAAAAAAACATTGAATTATATTCTTTAAAAAAAAAAAATGAATGTGATGGTTTGTAAATTAACTCAATACAACTGTTACTTACAAAGGCTCCACAACATTGGGGCGGGGGGAGATGGAGGTGTGCGCGTGCTTGTATGCCTGTGTGTGTGTGTGTGTGCGCGCGCGTGCGCGCGCGTGTGTGTGTGTGTGTGTGTGTAGTATACATATATGGCATATTATAGGTACTCATAAAATGTCCTTAATTTCTCAAATTTCTGTTAATAGAATCAGGGTCATGTTTGAAAGTTCATTGCTTTTTGGTAAGATTTGTTGCTGAACCAAAGGATAGAAAATGAATATTCTGGGAGGTCATTTATATACAGTATATGTATGGTATGTTTTTGTGATTTTTATATAATTTGTGGTGTATTTGAAGTGATAAACTGCTTTATAGCTACATTTTGTATTTCCTCATGTAGTTCTGGCACATAGGTTCAGAGGCGTCACAGGACAGGGATATACAATTGATAATAACTGGCATACGCGACTTTTCTTTATTCAGTGAGATGACTTTAGTGTTCTCATAAAAGACCCAATGAATTTCTGTTTACTTTCTGCGACTTTTATTTTATTTTACAAATAACTGAAAGATATTTAATACCTTTAAATTGATGTTAGAGACATCAGGAGGTGCATCCTGTCATTCAGGAGGTGCAGGGATAGGTGTTAAAGGCCATAGGGTAAGATGCAGGTGACATTTTCTGTAATACTTAGAAGTAAATAGTTGTGTCTATAAAGCAGTATAAACACTTGAATAATTCAGCCATGTAGAGCTTTTTATGACATTAAATGACATGTTCCCCAAATTTAGAGGTTATCTTTAAAATCTGCTTCTCTTACATGTTGTAAGAATTATGTTACCATGTCCTTACCAGTTGTTGCTGACAGTATGCTGTGACCGTGTTGGCTGACCTGTCTCAGATTAGTGTCCCTGTTCCAGTGCTTTTGAAGAGGGCACGAGTCTGCTTTCAGCTCGAAGGAAGGCCATGAAGTTGCCAGTGAATTTAAGCATTGCCTCTAATGTCTCACTTCCTTGAACTCCCCAGGAACTGATAGACTATCTGCGGACACATTCCCACAGCGCGGTGTATGCCACGTCACTGTCACCACCTGTTGTGGAGCAGATTGTCACCTCTATGAAGTGCATCATGGGGCAGGATGGCACCACCCTGGGTGAGTCTTTCTTTTCTGGGAAAATTTCCTGAGTTCAGTAAGTGCTTAGTGACCAACGTGCTCTTTTTGTCAGCTTTTTTCTTAAGATGACGAGTCAGGTGTACTAATGGCAGAGCCTGCAGTGTGTGTGAGGCTTTGGATTCAGTGGACATCTTCAGTGTGTTTGATACAGCATGCCATGAAACTAGTCTGACTCTCTTTCTGGCAAGTTTTCTTGTTTACAGATGGTGAGACTTTATTCATTCTCTCCCGCTCTCTTCATAAATCTAAGGTAATAAGCCTGCAGGGTCTTTCTTGAATTGTGCAATTTTATGCGACTATATAATTCACTCTAGTGATGTGTTTCTCATCGAATTTAAAAGCTACTGTTTCCTTGAATTGGTGTCCTTGACTTAATGCCTTTTAAAAGAATTTCTGACTTAACATGCAGTAGGTAATAAAAGCCATCCTGAATCTGTTTATTCTGTTTTTGGTGAGATGTATAATCCAAACTAGATGCCTTGACTGAAACATGCTAAAATGAGAAATAAAGTGGGCCTCCCCGGTGGTGCAGCAGTTGAGCGCTGGGTTGTGAAGCTGCCCGCGGCCTCTGCGACGCAGGTTCGATCCCCGGCTGCTCCCCGGCCACCAGAGGAGGGTCCCACATGGCGCGCAGACCTCTCCTGCCGCCCGCTGCTCCCCTCAGCAGTGTACTTCGGTCCTTCTGCCTGCTCTGCTCCCCACTCTGGCTCTGGTGAATTCTCTCACCCTCCCGCGCTTCTGACTGTACCCAGTGCATGTATAAACAAACAAACAAACAAACAAACAAATAAATAAAAACATGCCTCTATAAAAAATTATTAAAAAAAAAAACAACAACAAAAAAAAGTGTGGACTTTCTGATGATATTTGACTTTCACTCTGCATCACTAGAGGGCACTGTTGACTGCAGAAAAGTTATAATCTAAGGAGAACAATTAGGTTTTTTGTTTTGTTTGTTTTATCACTTTAAAAAGTATTTCCATTATGATTATGAGGTGGCCATTCACTTTACTTTTTTTTTTAATGCTTCTAAAATGACTTTTGCTTTTCAAAAGATTTCACATTATCAGCCTTGAGTTCCCCACTCTGTAGTTACATAAAATACATTTATTTTGTAAGCAGGGGAGAAATTGGTGTTTTGTGTGAGCCAGGAGCATTTAATTTTTCCTATTTTTTTAATGCTATATATAGACTGCTACCTGAAAATTCACAATCTAAGATATCTTTAGGAACAGATTGGAATCCAAATGTGAGGGCTGTCTGTATTTTTTGCTTTTAAATCTTACATCAAGTGGTCATATTGTGATAAGCTTTCTGCCGTTTATTTGTTTGAGCTATCCCTGTTCAGTTATCCCAGGTCCTTGTTCATTCATGTTCACTGTTCATCTAATAGTTTATACATATTCCGCCTACTAGAGCGTCTTTGTTCATTGCTCTATTTATGGACATTTAGAGTCTTAGCTCTTTTTAGCTGTTACATAGTACTGTAGCAGCACTTTGTATATGCCTGCTTTGCATATGTGTGAGGTTTGTTAGGAAATATACCTTGCAGTGATAGTAGTGAACATTTTTAGAGATTGCCAGATACTTTCAAGATTGCTTATACTGCTTTACTCTCTCCCATTACTAGATGAAAGTTATAGTTTTCCCATTTCCTTGCCTTCTGGTATTAAAAGGTACTGTCAATCTCTTATCTCTAGCAATATGTTGTTTTTGAAACAGGATCATTGAGGTTTTATTTTCATTTTCCTGATTATTAGTCAGATTGGCTGTTTGTATGGATTTGTTTTTAGGAGTTCCTTATGATTTTTGATAATTCCTTAATACTATTTTCTGTGAAGCAGAGAAATAGTTCTTTTAATTTTGTTTATGATATTTTATTTAATGAAAACTTTCCTTTTTAACATTAAAATTTATCAATCTTTATGCCTTACATCTTTTCTTGACTCGATATCAAATATATCTTCTATAAGTGTGCTCTTCCACTTCATTTTACATGAACTAATTTTTGATATATGTCTTTTTGCATGGTTATATGTATATGTGTGTCTGCTGTTGGGGAATTAATAGTCTACTGTATGGGAATTAATGGTCTACTGTATGGGGAATTAATCCTTTCAGTTCCATCTTGAATTACCTAGGCTCGTAGACCCATACATTTTAAAACTGCACCTTTTGTTTTGAAGAAATTTGTTGGGAAAAATCAGACTTGCATGGTAGCTGCACCAGTATTTCACTTTCATTGAATTTCAGTAGTTCTGTGAATTGGGAATACGGGGCAGTGATTGATAACCCATATAAGAACACTAGGTATTGAAATGCATGATGAATTGTGGATTGAAGCCTTTCTCTACTTTGTGATAGTTTCTCATGTATAGTTTCTAAGAATGAAGGAAAAAAGACCATGAAATGGAAGTTCTTGGCTAGGTTTAAGGGAATATTAGACATAAGAAGCTGGTTTTCTTTCCTGCCCTTCTACTCTAGTTTTCTGATTGTTGTTACCTGCCATACAAATATTGTGACATGACATTTTCCCTTTTTGTTTTCTTGAACATCTTTTTAATTTCTCTGTTGTTTAAACTTATTTTACCATAAACAGCCGTCCTCTGGGGCCTCTTCAGCAGACTTTCTCGCACCAAACAGGTTGTTAAACCAAAGCAATTCCATTGCAGTTGGGACTAAAGGCACTAACCTCATTTCTCTTTCCTACTGCCCCATATCAGCTTCAGGTAATTCATAGAATTAATTATAGGACTGGAGTCTCTAAATAAGCTACAGTTAGCATGGCAGTTTTTGGTTTTATACTTAGTCACTTGTACTACCATATATGTCACAATCTCATTACCACACATGCTACCACATTTGGGACTCCAGTTCACTTTTCTGAAGACCTTGTATTTAAAAGTTCTGTTTTTGTTTCAAGGTCACAAATTTTCAGATCTCTTCTTTCACTTGCTTTACTGGAAACTTTAGCACTTTATATGTGGTCATAAATTTGAAACTTTTATTCAGAATTTCATTTGTGAGGCTGATTTCAGAACTTAAGGAGTTCATACATTACCCCTGCTAAAGAATTGCTTATTTTCTTCTTGACCCAGTTTGGACTCTGGTTGATTTGCAGTGCTGGTCTCTTGTTTGCCATATGAAGATCATCTTTCCTTTGTCTTTTGTGCTTCATTTTTTGAAACTTCTGGAAGAAAATAGGAAATGTGGGGGGAAATTTAAACATTCTAACTTCCTGGATGTTCTTGCTTTTCCCTACTGGCTTTATGGGGCTGGGATTAAGGGAAGAAAATGAAATATTATGGAAAAAAATCACAATGATTTTTTTCCCACATTTTATTTAAATTTTATTTTTTATATTCCCCATACAATTACAACCCCCTTATTTTGACCCCAACCCCTCCTTTCCCTGCCCCCCCACCCCCCATAGAGTGTCTCTGGTTCATAGTTGTTTGTTGATTTTGATATTTTCTTTCTTATAGTTATTCTTTTTCCTGGTCCCTTATTTAAGTTTTCTAGATTCCTGCTACGAGTGAGACCATCCAGTATTTTTCTTTTTCTTTCCGCCTTATTTCACTGAGCGTGAAAATCACAATGATTTTAAATGTTTGTCCTTAAATTCCTTGACATTGAGCTGTTCTCATATGGCAGAATTAGTATCTCTGAGTATAATTTTTTATGTAAAACAATCATAAGTATAAAGTAGGAAGTACAAAGAACATTTTTTCTGAACCATTTGAAAATAAGTTGCTGATCTGAAGCCCCATAGTTCCAAGTGCTTTAGTTTTGCTATAGAACAGTTTTTTCATAACCACAGTAAACTGTCCAAGGCAAGAAATCGATGTTAATGCATTATTTAATTAATATAACATGATATTATTTCTGTAATGTTATTCTATAATAACAAATAATATTGACATATTATTACTATCGATTATTCCTCGGATGCCATTCAGGTTTGCCGGTGTCCCAGAAATGTGGATGTTGTCCAGAATTACTTGTTGCATTTAGTTGCCCAATCTCTTTAGTCTTTCTTCTGTAGTCACGGTTCCTCAGCCTTGCCTTGACTTACTTGATGTTAGTACTTTCAGGGATTACGGTTCACTTATTTTATAGACTGTTCCTCAATTGGGATTCACTTAGTGTTTCCTCATGACTAGGATCTATGTCTTTAACAAGAACATCTCCGAAGTTAGGCTGCATTTTCCTCATTACCTCTTCTCTCTTCTCAACTAAATAACCTTAGTCAGTTTCACCCATGTCTAAGTCAGATTTTGTTGGCTGCCTTTCAGTTCTGCTTTACCCACTGCCTTACTATTATCTCAGGCCTTGACTATTGCTTAATCCATTACACCAACCTCTGGTTGCCTTTTTCTTTCTTTCTTTTTTCTTTTTTTTTTTTTTTTTTGTGGGACCCTCGCTAGCGACCGGGGAACAAACCGGCGCTGCAGAGGCTGCGGGCATCCTCTCAGCCCAGTGCTCAACCGCTGCACCACCAAGAGAGGCCCTGGTTGCCTTATTCTTGCCCCAGTCTTTCCTGCACAGAACCACTTATTAATCTTCCTAAAATACAACTGCTTGTTATTATCTGTTTAAAAGATGCAGAAATGTAAAATAACAATCTTTAGTACTCCCAGTTGCTTATGGAATAAAGTTCAAATTCTTTATTTGATATCCAAGGTATAGTTTGATCTTAGCTTGACCCATCTTTTATCAATAGATTTTATATGTTAAATATTAAAATTGGTGTCCAATCCTAATAATTTTAGACAAAATTCTTATAATTTTGTCTATCTTGATTATTTTGTTACTTGATTTTGATTTTATTTCTTTGTAACCATGTAGCTACAGCATAGTTCTGATAAATATGTATATTTTTGCCATATTCAGCATGTCTATTAATTTTTGGTTTTGTCCCAAATGAATTAGGTTTTAGTCCCAATATCTTATTAGTATCCACACCTTATTTTCCCTTT